GCTTACCGTGTAGGCCAGTTGGGCCTCACTTTGGGCCTAGAAACAGGAAGAATTTTTTTTTGAATGATATCTATGATAATATCAAGATACCTTTCTCTCCTTATTTTTCAAATTTGATTCATTCTTCAAACTTTGTGAAATCTACGGTTGATGTATCTGATGGTTGTAGAAGTAGTACGAATATGGTGGAGGAAGTTTCCTCTAGGTATTCAAGAGGATCTGTTTTGTGTTGTGAGTTCATTAGTGATAAAGACGTGGATAAAGGAAATTCAGGGTCTGTTTGGATTGATGGAAATGGATGAAATGGAATGGAGTGCAGTTATGTTCCATTGTTTGGATTTACAAAAATTGAATGGAGTATGATGGAACACATTCCATCCAATACCACTATTTTGGCCCATTTTTTATTTCCCAAATTTGGGGTGTATCCAATGGAATAGAGTCAATTAATAAAACAATTACAATCTTATCCTCCAAAATTTCACTTTTATTATTAACCGTTCTTATTCCTTATTTTAATCGACGTGATATTTTTCTATTCAATCACTGCAACTTTTCTCCTTCACAGGCCTTCTTCTTGCTTGTAAAGAGTCTATCTTTCTTCTACCCTAACAAGGTACATCATATTTCTTTTCATTTTTTTTATCTGTATTTATATGTGTGCTCTATTAAATTAAATATCTTGATTTATCTTCATGTTCATATCTTTTTCATTTTTCAGAAATTAGGTATAGTTACTAAAAACAAAATCTAAAGTTATGATTTATGTTGCTTTATAGCGGAAGGAAATGTTACATCTCATTGTTCCAGACTATCCTTTTTGATAATGGTAACATATTTATTTATCAATTTTAAGTATTTTTTTTTTATCTTTAACGAATAAAATATTTGCGTAATTTATTTTATTTTATTTTTGCAGGTTTTGTAGAATGCTTAAAGAAGAGAGTCTTAATCTATTACGGATCAATATTTGTCTTTTTTATTAACAAGACTTGATATCATTATCTACTATAGACATATTTATCATTTAATTTTAGCACAATTTAATTTTGTTTGTGAATTACTATTAATACTCAGAATACTGTTGATCAAAACTTGTGCACTTGGTCTTTGTAATTTCAAGTTATAATAATCCTGTTTCATTTATGAACATTTTAATTTATTATTGTATGTTTTAATTTCTTTCAAGTGTTAAGTTGATATTTTTTTATGATTACTTATATATTATTTTAGTTTGAGAATGTTTGATCTATCAATATTGTACAAAGAGTAAAAATAAAATAAAAAAGTTATAATGTTTTCTGCCTCCGCTTCTCCGTTGTAAAATATCCAAACAAATGGAATAAAATTTATATTGCCTTCCATTCCACTTTATCCTATTTTGTTCAGTTCCGCACCGCTCAGTTGCCTTAGGATAAAATAATCCGGGCGAAAATTTGGCAAAATACTATTTCGTTCAGTTCCGCACCGCTCAATTGCCTCAGGATAAAATAATCCCGGCGAAAGTTTGGCAAAAGATTAAAGATTTGGGGATCGAGGGGAATGAAGATGACGAGGCTTTTGAAATAATCATTAGAGATTTGGAATCAAGAGATAGGAAAATCTTCGATGATAAGAGGGGGATGAAATTAAGGTGCCATGAATCTCATGACATTCAATATCCATGGGTGTAGCTCTTCCATAAAGAGAAAAGGAGTATGCAAATTGCTTGCTAAGGGTAAGGCGGATTTCTGCTTTTGATTAGTAAGTGGAAGGTGATGGCGTAACATGTCGAGAATAGGGACGTTTCTGATCATAGGCCTATTTGGCTCTACTCAAACAACGTTGACTAGGGACCTAACCGTTTAAGTGTTTGAACTGTTGGTTCGATCATCCAGAATTCATTACTTTTGTAAGGATGCTTGGAATTCTATTCATGCAAATGGGAGTGCTAGCAACATTCTTATGACCAAATTGCAGGGCCTCAAAGAAAAATTAAGGTGGTGGAGCAAACATGTCTTTGGATGGATAGACTTGAAGATAGATGATAGTGTGGATACGCTTAATGAGATAGAAGCAGACAAGGTGAATTGTGATGGGGTTCTCTCTGAGGAAAATAAGTATAATCAATCAAAAATCCCGTACGAAATGAATGACTAATGGTGATCTAAACACCAGATACTTCCATTCCTTAGTTAATTCGAGATTAAGACTTAATTTCATCTCCTTGTTAAACTTGGGGATTGATCTCATGGATGATGTTGGCTCGATTAAACAAGAAATTAAAGAGCATTTTGATGCTAGATTCTAAAGTGCTGGCGGCATTAGACATGCTTTGAATTTGTCTGAACCACCTAAATTAAGTGATGAAGAAAATGCAACATTACAAGAACCTTTTAACGTAGATGAAATTCTTGTGACTATTGATGGCTGCGACGGGAATAAAAGCCTGGGTCCTGACGGTTTTAACTTGGCTTTCCTCGAGAAATGTTGGGGTGTCATTGGAAGCGATGTGGTGAATTGCATACAGGAATTTCACCATACTGTAAAGTTGCCCAAAGCGTTTTGCTCCTCTTTCATTGCATTGATACCAAAAAAGGCAAACCCTCAGTATTGATGAGTTTAGGCCCATCAGCTTCATAGGTTGAATTTACAAGGTCTTGTCTAAATTTCTCGCTGCAAGGTTGAGTTTGGTTATTGGCAAGTTAGTTTCCGCTTCACAGATGACGTTCATCCCGGGGAGACAAATTTTTGACGAAGTTGTTGTGGCAAATGAATTAATTGATTTTATTAAGAGATCAAAGAGAAGTTGTCTTCTATTCAAGGTAGATTTCGCGCAAACTTATGATTGTGTTGAATGGAGCTTTTTAGAAAAGGAGTTGGAGGAGGTGAATTTTGGCGAGAAATGGCAGAAGTGGATGCTAGGTGCAGTTTTTAACAACTTTCATTCGGTGCTAGTCAATGGGAGTACGACCAAGGACTTCAAAACGTCTAGGGACCTTAGACAAGGCGATCCTTTGTCGCCTTTTTTGTTCTCGCTAGTGGCGGAATGATTGGCTCTTTTGGTTCGGAGGGCTCTCAATATAAACATGCTGAGAAGGGTACACTTAAATGACTAAGTTTCCATAATCTTACTTTAATTTGCATATGACACTATAATTGCGTGCGAAATGTCTTGGTTAAGCTTATGGTGTCTAAAGGCCATTCTTAGAGGGTTTGAGCTTATTTCTGGTTTGCAAATAAACTTTTGGAAAAGTTGCTTGTATGGTGTTGGTGTTGCTGTTGAATTTTTGAGGGCTGCTTCTCTTTTTCTAGCATGCAATTTCGGGCAACTTCCGTTCAAATTTCTTGGATTGTCTATTGGGGCCAACCATAGAAGGGTGGCATTTTGGAATCCAATCATGTCTTGCATTAATTCACGACTGTCCTTGTGGAAAATTAGATTATTATCCATTGGTGGGAGAGTGACCTTAATAAATTCTGTGCTAACAAATTTGCCAATCCACCATATTTCGTTCTTCAAAGCTCCAACTAAGGTTATCAAAGCGATAGGAAATTCCTGTGGGATGGGGTTAGTGAAAAGGAGAGTATGGCTTGGGTTAGGTGGTCCTTGGTTTGTAAGCCCAAGGAAGTTTGAGGTTTGGGAATTAAAGACTAGGTGTTTTCAATTGTGCTTTGTTATCAAAATGGTTGTGGAGGTTTACTCAAGAATCCAACGCAATTTGGTCGGGAATACTCCAAGCAAAATACAGCAATGTGAAGAGTAGAATTCTTGCGAAAAATGTTCAATCAGTTGCTAAACTTGAATCTCTTTGGTGGAAGGATATTATGGGTATTGCAGATTATAGTAAAGACGATGGGGTTGTGAATCAATTGTCATGGAAGCTGGGTAATGGACGTACATTTTCGTTCTGGAATTCGCCTTGGGTGGGAGCTTCGAACTTGAAGAACTTATTCCCTGAGCTATATCTTTATTCTCGTCTTCAACAGGCTGTCATCGTAGATTGTGGCAGGTGGGAATTTGATCATTGGCTGTGGGGTTTTGGTCGCATTTTCACGGATCAGGGGGGCTGTAATGAGGAGTAGCTTAGTGATTTTAAGCAACTTTTGGCCTAGGTCATGCCTATTAATGGTTTACATGACACTGTAGGATGGCCAAGGGGTGATTTTAATTCGTTTAGCGTAAAATCCTGTTATGATACTATTATTACTGCTTCAGGTTGCCTTGAATTGGACCAAAATGTGAAGTTAGCTTTGGAGATTCGTTGGCAAACTCAAGTTCCGCTGAAAGTCAAAGTCTTCGGTTGGCGTCTTTTGTTGAACAGGCTTCCTACACGCGGCAATCTAGCAGCTAGAGGTGTGTTAACAAACTGCCACGACAAGGTTTGTTGTTTCTGTTTTCATGTTGTTGAGGATTTGGACCACTTTTTTTGGAATTGTCCACGTACAAAGTTGGTTTGGAAAGAGGTTGAGTCTTGGATGGGAGTTTCTATACCAATTGTATCAACTTGCAATGAACATATGCTAGCATGGTTTGCAACTACGGTTGGGAAATTGCTAGCATGGTTTGCAACTACGGTTGGGAAATTATCAAAAACGACGGCTTGTTTTATTTGGTTGGTAACATGTTGGTACTTATGGTGGAGTAGAAACCAGGTGATGTTCAACGATGTCTTATAAGGCTTTGTGTATAGTTATGGACTATCTTTGTTTATTGACTTGTAATCTTGCTGGTTTGGGATACCCTTTGTGTCCCCTTCAATATATTCTCTCTACTTATAAAAAAAAATTCTCAAAGATACCTGACAAAAAAAAATTTAACCCTAAAATTAATTATAGATAAAAACTTATTTTGTTACTTTAACGAATTTTGATATATATTTTTTTAATATCTAATATTTATAAGTCTAGTTTAAATGACTGAAAAAAGTAATATATAAGAAATTGTCTATAGATTCATCATTTTCAAATTTTCAAAGCAACACAAAGCATATCCACTAAACATCATTGAATGCATTTAATCAAACAATTTCTACATGCAAAGGAGTAGCATTAGGATTCTCCAAAACTTGTATAGTTTTCCTTGGAGACACAGCCATGAGTGATAGAAGAAAAGGTTTAGCCTTCTCAGTAGTTTTGATAATAATCAAAAACAAAACTCTATATAGAACAATCATACCCAACAACACTCCAAGATCAACCCACTTTGAGTAACTCATATCCACATGCCATTTATTTCTTAGAATCTCTTCGCCACTAATGTAATTGAGTGATCCACCAATTCCGCCATCTCTATTAAACTCTAGTCCTTCAAACTCGTTTTTATATGATCCTTGAAAAGCATACCTATGGAATGCAATGTAGAACATAGGATATCTCCAAAATGGGTTTGGAAGATCATTTGGCAATCTGAAGAATCCACCGGCCAACATCATGATTCCTTGAATTCCAGCACCGGTTATGATTCCCATTAGAAAATGAGGAACGATGCTTGCAACTATCATCATGAGACTCTCTACTAACATTAGACAAGAAAATAGAGCACAGATGAAATAGAGAAAATGTTGATATCCTTTTTGAAGACCAGCAGGGTAATATGCTATAGCTCCAGGAATCAGTGAAACCATTAACAAGTATGGAAGAGATGAAATTGTGTTCCCAATTACATATGCGGTAACACTATAATGTCCATTTAGTCTTTCACGTTCAAATACCTACACAAATTAATAGAATCTATGAACACTGACATAAACACATACACCATTTTTCAGAGGTTTCGCTGCTACAGAGTTATCTATTTGGTGACTACAATGCATATTGAGTAAATAGATAAACATACCTTCATGTCCTCTACATAAGAAGGAAATCCACCAATGGTCATGAACGTTAGGAATGAAAACACAAACATAAGAAATGAACCCCTATCCTGAATCGAGCCATAACTTTTATCCAAATCATTAAAGACAGTGGCCAAACTTATAGCCAGAGCAATATATATGCCGAGGCGTAACCAGTAATAGCCTAGATCACGAAACATGTTCACAAAAGATCTTCTGGTAAGAACTAAGCATTGATTAAGAAAGCCAGCATGTTTTTTCCTCTTGTATGTTGAATTATTGTCCTGAAATAGTCATCAAAGTAGCATGTCAATATTTTGTATTGGGATAGTTAACTTTCGATTAATAAGAAATTAGACGATACCTTTTTCGATAGTACTGCTACTTCATTTATAACTTCTTGGTTTATTTCGGACGATGTATATGAAGTCACAAGGATACCAATTGCTTGTTCTGTGGAAATTGTTCTACTCATCTCCGCTAAATCGATCTCAATATCCTAACATAGAAACATTTCAAAATGATTTTCACTAGTTATGCGTGTTCGAATATTCTAAAGTAGAAAAAAACACAAATGTGTTATTGATGCTTGATGAACAAGTTACCTGATCAAAATCCTTATTTATAGTTTTAAGTAAATGATCGGACGGATTTTGGAGAGGAGGACAAGGAAATCCATTCAAACCGAAAAACTACATTGAAACAAAACCGAAATCAATCACCAAGTGATCATCAATTATACAAAACTAATAACATAAAACATAATACTAGTACTAACCTCACATGCGGCCGAAGCAGGTCCAAAGTAAACCGTTTTACCAGAAGACAAAAGACAAAGATTATGAAAAAGTTGAAAAACTTCGGTACTAGGTTGATGGATCGACGCAACAATAGTCCTTTGAACTCCATCTTTTTTCCCTAAGGAAGCAATTCTTTTCATGACATAGTAAGAAGCAGCACTATCAAGTCCACTAGTTGGTTCATCAAGAAAAAGAAGACTAGGATGTGTTAGAATCTCAATGCAAATGCTGACTCTTCTTTTTTGACCCCCACTTATGCCTTTAACACCCCACCCTCCAATTCTTGTGTTAGTTGCATCTTGAAGGCCCATTTCTCTGATTGTAGAATCAGCTCTTTGTTTCTTCTCTTGTTTGGACATTGTGTCAGGTAATTGAAGTTGAGCTGAATAGTATACTGCTTCTTTGACAGTTAAGGTTGTTAATAATGTATCATCTTGTGTGACATATGCCTGTGTATGAGAATGAGAATGAGAATGAACACATCTATAAATGTTAATTAATTGAAAAAATGTATGGATTTAGAGAATTATAGATTTGTTTATATATGTACCGAGGTTCCATAAGCCAATGCTTGTTTGTTGCCATTGATCAGAATCTCCCCTGATTGTCTTGTGTTTGAACCTAATCTCCCTGAAATACATATATATGAAATTATTTTATTTTTTTCAATGATAACATGAATTAGAATCTAATGAAATAATGAATTTATTTTAAATAAAAACTCCATATAATTGCATCAAGTTGGCGTTTCTGTTCCCACCCAAGATCAATACAAGTTTACTTTTTAATATATTTAGTTTAAACATATTGCTTTGTCAACAAATTCAAAATGTAAAGTATTTTATAATAAAGATCTTGGGAGTGTTTTATACTAGAAGGAAAAGGGATGATGCTCTAATTTTAAATGTTATGTATCCTAAAATTTTTAAATTATTTATATGACATAATGGATTGATATGTTCTTATTGTAAACTCATTTTGTACACAAATATATTAAAAATTAAGGAATTTTGATATTAAAATTTTAAAAGTTATTTTGTAAATCAACTTTAAAATCTATTTTGAAGAAAAAATCAAATATAATAGATTTGGTAATCGTATTTTTTGTGTGTTAGAGATGATAATATAAAATATATTTGTTTGCTGATTGTTTTAAATATATTTTAAAATATTTAAAAGAAAAAAGAGAAAATTTGTTTTACAAATATTTCATTTGTTTATAATAAATTTATTTTAATATATTCTATTTTTGTTTAAATATAGTTTTAAATATTTATAATATATTTAAATGTAAAAATTATTATATATTTTTGCAAAATTTTTAAATATTTTTGAAATATTTACTTTCATAAAACAATATATTTATGTATAAAAATACTATTTTAAAATTGTAGAATATTACAAAATTTTCATTAGTAAAAATCATACCATTTTTTGTTGTTTTTGTCTTCTATTTCTCAATTTCCAAACAAAAAATAAAAATCTTTAAAATTTATTTTAGTTTTTTATTTCAAAAAATTATAAATAAAAAATCGTTTTCAAAAGTAATTTAATTAAATTAAATTATTAAACAATTTTTATTATTTAAAAGTTAAAATAAAAACTAAGCCAAACAAATTCTAAATAGTTTTAGATATTGTATATCAACTAATATTGAAGCTGTAAAGAGTTGACTTGAAGTAAGAATTATTAATAGTTGAACAGTGTATAATTTTATAGTAAGATGAAATATATAGACTCATATTATTATCATTACAATGAAATATTTCGTCAATTCAATTGATAGCATATTTAATTGTATTAATAGATAATCAAATCCACAATATTTTACTTTTTTATTTTTAAAAGATAAATTTTTAATTATTATAAAAAATTTGAAGATAAAATTGACACAATTACCACTAAATTTTATAGTTTCACCAAAATTAAGATACCACCTAGATTTTGAAAGATCACCGCCAATTTAAACATATACTACAAAATATGGAACACGTCAAGATGAAGAAGACACGTCTCTGTATAAGAATTAAAAACTCATGGAACATGGAGGTAGTTTAAATTTTTGGTTTTCTAATTTGACTATCTATTTTCTTTCCTATGTTACATAACTATGATTCAACACAAATCAATAATAAGTCAAAAATAAAAGAAACAATTCTCATTATCAATTTTACCAAATGAAATTTATCAATTCTCATTATCATAAATACAAAAATAAAAAGTGACTAAATAATGCAAAAGAAGAGATGTTAAATTGTTAATTACCTGCTAAAGCATCAAGAAGTGTAGATTTTCCAGAACCAGAAGGACCCATTATAGCCAAAACCTGACCTGGTTTTGCATAACCAGTTAAACCTTCAAGAATGGATTTACTTTCATTTTTTGAACCAGAAACAGTTACCCATAGATCCTTCCAACTCAAACAAATACCCTTATTTTCTTCTCCATTATTCATCCTCTTTGAACCAATAATATTACTTGACCCTTTCATCTCTTGGATATTAGGAACAGCTGAAACAAGAGAAGCCATTGTAAATTGTAAGTAAACAAAAGAGTTTGTTTAAGACAAGACAAGTTGCATGTATTTATATTGCATGTTTGGTGTGAGGATTCTTTCGGAATTTTGTTTTTATGTGTGGTTTAATTTTAAGTATTTGTCTTTGTTAGTATAATATTTAAGACTTGAAGGTAAATTGTTAGTCCATTTGTTTATGTTTAATTTCAAAGGCGACGAGCAGAAAAAAAAGGGGGCGGGGGACTTAATTCCGCAGACTTAGTTTGGAGGACCTTCCTCGTTTTTAGACTTGGGAGATACTTAAATGTGTTTAACACGTTGTGCTGGACAAAATGGATTTTTTACATGTGGACTTTGTAAATACTTTTTTTTTCAAAGTCAAAGGAACTATTTAAATTGAGATGCTATAATTTGAAAGTTATTATTCTCTTATTCTGTGATGTTTTTTTTATTGATGGGTTTTCAGTAAAGTTTTAAAAATGTACTGGGGATCGAATCGGTAAGGATATTGTACTATTGGTTTATTGGTCGAAATACTAGATTATTGTTGAATCGCATGACTAAATCGAATAATACGTTTGAATAAAATATTATGAAACATAGCATCCATGGAAGAAGTAGAGAGAAAAGATAGAAACTCTTGTTTTTTATAGCAATCCAAATATTACAAGTGAAAAAGTGATTACAAAATTGACAATTTTAAGCCTATTTATAGGCGCTACTAGTAATTAACATTAACTAGTAACTAACCTAACTAACTTCTTATGTCTCATTAGTCCCCCACGAGTTAAAAGGTGTTCATAACACTTCTAACTTGAAATGAGCAATACAAAAGGACATATCAAATCAAAGAAGGATACAATGAGAGGTGCCGAAAAAACATAGACTAAAAAATCAATACCATAAAGCCAAAGCTTAACATTAAGTAAAAGTCATAATCAAGACTTAACCAGTTAACACAAACAATAAGGGGTGGCAAAATGGATAGATTGAATTGTTAATGGATGAATCAAAATAATATATTAGTTCATTAACAATTCACTAAAATTTTCTTAAAATTATCAAATCAAATCCATCTGTTAAGAATAAAATCCATCAAACTCATCCATTAACATATTTCTAATCGATAGATATTCATACATCCAATTTTTTTTCTAATTTCGAAAAAGCAAGTGTATTTTTTTTTTTCGAATAATTTATTTTTTGTATTTTAAAAAAATTGTTCTTTAATATATTTATGAAAAAATTGAATTTTTTGTTTTAAAAAAACCATATTTTGTATTTTAAAAAAAAATTGATATTTTAATTTTCGAAAAAAAATCGGTTTTCTCCACACAAAAAAGTCAGTTTATTTTTGAAAAATTCAAATTTTTTTGTATTTTTCAAAAAATTGATATTTTAATTTTAAAAAAAAATCGGTTTTTTTCTTTAAAAAAAGCGTTTTTTTGGGGGAAAAATCAATATTTTTTTCAAAAAAAAATCGTTTTACTTTTTGGAAAAATTCCGAGTTTTTCTGTTGGAAATAAATCAATTCTTTTCTTTAAAACAATCCATTTTTTTTTTATAAAATAAATCTAACGAAAATAAAAATAATTCATTGGATACTTAAAATATGTTGGATGAATTGAATTAATTCATGCATATAAATGGATGGATTTAATCCAACCATTAATTTACTTTTTATGTGGTGGATGAATTTTTTTATGGATGAATTGGATGAACTTTGCCTTAATGGATCAAATTGCCTCCTCTACCTACCATAAAGGGGTAGCACAACAACAATGCCAACAAATGGCACAAAGCTTAACCATCAAGAGTGAAAAGCACTCAAGATAGAAGCACAATAAGTGAGTGTCAGAAGGTCTAATGGCTACAAAGTAAAGTAACAAAAATGAAGTTGTGCTAACGGTGACTTAGCACATTAAAAGACCAACAACTCAACTAAAAAATGATCAAGTAGCATGGTTGATGGCTAGAGATTAAAGCAACAATATCAATGTTATATATGCTCTAGATAAGATACTACATCAAAAAACCAACTAATCAATCAGAAAATAACCAAATGCAACCTGTACAAAACATGACAACAAAGAGTAGATGGAAGAACTCAAAGTCATCTTCAATCTTCACAATCGTAGATAAACCAAAAATTCAATCACTAGGTGGAGCAAAAAAGTATTTCCAAATAGCTAAACCAATATTTGAATACTCTTTCCATATCCAATATGTGAATTTAACTCCATTCACATACCTAACAGAAGTAGTATAGGATTACTTGAGTTACAAACATATTGAACTATAAACCTTCAGCTCATATCATCAAAACCAATTAAGGCAAAATTATACATTTGTTCCATTTCTGAAACAGTTTCTCAGCATAATAGTTTCTTCATACTCATTACCTCACACAAAATATTATTCACGAAAAAATAACCATTTCACTCTCTTTGTTCAGTCTATGCTCAAACATCATTCTCTGACACATGTTTATCTATGAAGAAAACAATCACCATAAATGTATCTCCAATAGGTGCACATACACAAGCGATGTTAGTTGATGGTATCAGTAACATAAAATCAGCAGTACCTAATTCTACTATGCAAATGAGCTTGTCTAATTCATCCCATAAACCTTCACGTTGACCTCACCAACATTTTCAAAAAATAGAACCAGCTCCATAATAAATCCAATGAGCTAATAACAATGAAAATTCTCACCACTAACATAGATGAAGCTTTAGCAAATATCACATTATTTAACTCTTTCATCACCAATCTATTTATATATATTAAATCCAATGCATCAAACTATTTTGTGACAATTAACACTGATTTCTTCACAAATAATCCACATCATCCTACACCTTCCACTAACCACCAATCAAAATACCACTATATGCCAACACCCATTCTTTGACTATTTCCCTACCAAAACCCCTTTTTCACCTTCCCTAATTGTTCAATACCACGTTACAAGTGACAAATTTTTTTCTCATGTTGCAAATATCTCATGAAGTGTGGTTGTTCTCCAATTATGATTAGAATGAATTTTGGGTTTCCTTAATTACAGTTTGATTTTTCCCTTCCTATGGTTTTTGACAAATCAATTCTGATTACGATTATAATGAATTTTGGATTTCTCCGATTACGATTCGAGTTTTCCCTTCCTACAATTTCTAACAAATCAATTTAGTATTAAGATTGCAAGATTTGTTATGCATGCAGTTGTTCTTATATAATTCAATTTTGGATAACTCTGATTACGGTTTGATTTTCCCTTTCCGTAAATATAATGTGTTTATGAAAAAATTTAACACTTATAAACACATATAAATTGATTCGAAGTTAAATTTCCACGTGTTTAGAGAGAGAATGTCTAACCTTTATTAAAAAAATTATTGTGTTTCCCTTTCTCAATCCCATTTTGGTCTTCTCTCCTTCTTGTGATAGGAGCGAGTGTTTCTCTGGCTATTATGTTCTACGAGTATTTTACCTCTCACGACATGGATAGATGGAAGGATATTATGTTATCAAAGGAAGAAGAAGAAGGTATCACGACGGAAGCGAATGAAGTAGGCGGTGAAGAGATCTTTCAACGGACTCTGGCGGCAAAGCTTTGGTCGGATAATAGTTTCAACTCTCAAGCCTTCACAATGACAATGATAAATGCTTATAAACTAAGAACCCAGTGGAAACCCAAGAACTCAGCAAGAACCTTTTTCTCTTCCATTTTCCTACCAAGAGGGATCTGGAATGTGTGCTTCGAAATGGTCCTTGGAGTATTGACAGAAACCTGTTGGTTCTAGCTCGTGTCTCTGGAGAAGAGTAACTGTTGGCTCTGAACATGCATTATGGTGTCTTCTGAGTCAGATTCTACGAACTACCTCTTATGCTAAGAACTGAGGTGATGGCAAGGAAGCTCGAGGAAATCTTAGGTGTCTTCGAGGAAGTGGACAAGAAAAATGCTCACCTGAATGGTAGATTTCTTCGTATCAAGGTCACTCTTGATCTGAGACAACCTTTGAAGAGGGCTATGGTGGTGCACTTCAAAGACAAAAATATTTGAGTTTTCTTCAAGTACGAAAAGCTACGAACTTCGTGCTTTGTATGTGAGAGGCTTGGACATCAACTCAAGGATTGTAATGCGATTAGAGACCTTAGTGAATAAGGGTTTAAGGAGCTTGAGGAAAAAGATTTATCGTACGGTTCATGGTTATGAGTGTCTCCTATACCTAGAACCCCAAATGAACAAATGAAGGATTCTTACTCTAACTCTTGCAGTAAGAGTCTTTTCAACATATCCTCAGGAAACAGCAAGTGTGAAAACAAGGAAAAAGAAAAGGAATATGGTGGGGAAGTCGAACAAAATAGGATGGTGACAAATAAAAGGAAGCAAGGAGAATTCTCAGCAATTAAAGTGCTACCTCCTAAACAAAATAGTCTAGAAATTAAAGTCGTTACAGAATCACTTGGAGCAGTGAATATGTCAAATGTGGGAAAGAAAAGGGGTCCAATTCAAAAACTCTAAGCGCCAGGAAGAAGAAATGGATGAGGAAACATACACCTAGGAAAGTGAGCCTAAATCAAGAAAAGAAGTTGGATCTGGAATTTGGGAAGCGTCAACTAGTGGATGTCATGATTTTAGAAAGAACTGTTGAGGTTCAGGGAAGTGGTGGAAAGAAGAGGAGGGGATAAGTCATTATGAAGGAGTTACAAAACATAACAGAGGTGGTGTTGGGGTTAGGGAGTCCCCATGCAGTTCGAGCCTTGCTAAGGCTCCGCCATATTGAAAATTCAGATGTTTCATTTCTTATGGAGACACGACTGAAGAGTAAGGAAGTTCAACCCATAAAAACTAAGAGTGGTTTCGATAATTGATTTGTGGTAGATTGCAGTGGTAATGGTAGAGATAGAGTTGGGGGCTTCATCCTATTTTATAAGGAGAAAAAATGCATATTAATGTTGAGTTTTTCACTCTTAACCATATTGGGGGTTCTGTGCTTAACGAGAATGAA